TTAACCCCTTCTAGGGGTCTCTGTAAAACGCAGACCGGATAGATTGATGCGGATGGCGGATGCGGATAGAAAAAATGTGGATGAAAAATTGCGGATGGAAAAATGCAGATAGAAAAAAGAATCGGTTGGAAATAAAAAAAAAACAACAAAATTAAACATGTCTATACATTCGAACCCCGCTATGTCGAAATCGGTTAAATTCAAGTTCCAAGTCCCGCTATTTCGAACAAAAATCGATTTCCCTAGGATTTACCCTTTCTTTTACGCTTCTCCGGTGTTATTTCGAAAGCCCGCTATCTCGAACTTTTTTCTATTTCCCATGGGGCTTCGAAATAGTGAGGCCGGTTCGATTATAAAGAGTGTCTGTAAAACATGGAACGGACGGACTGAAAACTTTTCCCAGTTTTCTCACATTTTCCTCTCAGATCATTCCATTAAAGACATAGAACTCATCCCATAGGAACTCATTAATTCAGACAGAGATAGACCATATGGAATGAACCGAGGCGATGAAATTTAATCTTATGACGTGTATTTTTATGATACCTCTTTATAATTGTTTTTCTTTCTTTTGTATTCCTCCACCTGTCATATTTTATTTCTTAGTTTTGTATTATTTTTAAACTGTTACCGTCTTTTCCATTCTCACTTAGTTTTCGTTGGAAGACTAGTTTCGTCTAGTTGAAATATTGGGCTAATATAATATATTATTAAAAATCCATATCTGTGCGATCAGATATGGATTTTTAATAAAAAGCCTTGCTTTCAATTTCAAATATTACTTTATATCGCTGATCCTGATCTACAACTGAAAAGATCCGGCTATCCTTCGCCGCTGTTTGTCCGAGTGGTCCTTCCAAGAATTCTTCGGATTGTAAACGACGGATGGAAAAAATTGTGGGTAAACCAAAATAGTAAGAATAAAACGAGAAAATGCAGACACAGGCTGAAGCAGCATATTCATTTATTAAAGCGTAAAAATATAAAATATTTGGTAAAACCTCTATTCAACAAGATCTATTTCAAACTCGAGTAGAAAAACAGAGATTTGTAGATATAAAGTCAAGACACACTACGTCCTACGTCTTTCCATGTTGTGTTCTCACTCCGGCAAATCGGCAAAATACACTTCGCAGATTTAAAAGGATACAAATGAATAACGGCTGATAGTTTCGAAAGAAACTGTTTGGGGCTGCGTCGGTGGGAGTAACGA